CTGCTGCTTATCTGCTCCAGGTTTATAGGCATATCTAAGAACCTAGGGCCCCCGCGATATATCGGTGTTGGTGATGGTGGTGATGGTGGTGGTGGCACGCCGTTTAGGGGTGCCCACCTCGACGCGCTCGGTAGACCACCACTATGGGGGTTTGGGACCTCCATAGCGGTTCCTGGGGCCTCAGGGGGCCTTTCTCGATCGATTGACGCGTTAAAATGACGTGTTTAGATTGAGTGTTGATTTTGATGTTCCCCATCGATATTCCGTCCTCCAGGGTTAACAGCTCTATATACCAGAATATAATACAAGACTCTGGAGTATATAATATCTATTTAATTTTCTACTATTCTTAATAAGTTTTTAAATTAATTTATCTATCAATTTTTTAATATAATCTGTCTACTAATGTCTATTTAGAAAATAATAAATAAAAGTACTAATTGAAATATATTAATAAAAGTATAATTAAGAAATAATAAATAAAATTTAATTAGATAAAAATAAATAAGCTCTAATTAGAGTGGCTTAACCTAACTGTCATACCCTAGCCATAACCTAACCTAACCGACCTAGGTATAACTAGGTTAAGGTTAAGAGACCTCTTAACCGCAGTTAACTGTAGGCTAGAATAGATTAGATTATAGCGATTAGATTAATAACTGTAAATTAATTAATAATTAATATACTATAATTTTATAATATTTATTATACTTTTTCCAATTTATTTTACTTATAATATTGTTATCGCGATATATTGAATAATTTCGATTATAGAATTTAAGAATTAATAGTCAAGAAATTTAATAGTAATAAATAGTCTGGATTCTATCTAACTAAATACTAAGAAATCTATTCTTTATATCACTCTAGTTATTGATTATAATATTATAAACTATAGAATATATAAGTATCTATCTTTTATTAGATATATATAAGATCTGAAACAGAGAGTAAGAATTCTATAGCTTATTTAATTAATATAGTACTGTTTTTAGAATTATTTTTAAAATTATTTATATTTTCTATATTACTGATATAGATTATATTCTCTATATTATTATTCTATTTTTTATTAATAGTAAAAAGAATATTCTCTATATCTATATTATTTATAATATTCTGAAACTCTTTATTAATTATAAATTAATCAGTATATATCTAGAGTATTATTACTTTAATTATATTAGAATAGAGATAACTTTAATAGTAGTAGTAAATATTTTAAGTATTATTAAATAAATATTCTATACCGACACTGTTTATTATTATAGCTAAGAAATTCTATACTATATAGTAAAGAATAGAAAAGTTATCACAGCAGAATTTTTAATAGATAAGAATATTAGTTTAACTAGTTATATTTAATTCTATAAGCTAATTAGTATTTTTAAATTAGAAATAGAAATAATCTATTCTTAAAATTAAAATAAATTTTAAACTCTTTAAATATTTCCGAGAGAGATAATTTTTTTTATTACTTAGAAATATAGTAAAAAACTCTATCTAAATCTAATAGTAGATCTGAGACTGTTAACTATATATTAATATTAGAATTATAATAGTAGTAAAAATTAAATATCTTTTTAAAAACTTATTAAGTCAGGGATTTTTTTTAAATATTTTAAATTTTAATATTAGGTCTAGAATTATTATAATTATATAGATATAATTCTTAATATAGTAAATTTACTAATAATATTTTTAAAGTTTTTAATATCTCTAAGATTATTAAAAATCTATTATTTCTAAGATATTCATTTTCTTATAAGATAATTAATTAATATATCTAGATAATTAAATAGATTATTATAAATATTATATATTTTATATACTGTAGAGTCTTGATTATCTAAAAGATAGATTATAAAGATATAGAATAGATATAGAAGCTCTATTAAATATTTAAACTATCTCTATTTAATAGATATAGACTGGAGATAAGAGATTTTACTATTATTCTATTACTAGATAAAGTTTTTAATAGATTAATAAAGTTTTAAAATATAGTATATTATAAAATAGATTAAGTTCTATTAAATTTTATAATCTAGAAAAAAAAGAAGTACTAACTCTATATTAAATCTGTGAGATAATTAAAACTACTTTTAATACTGAGAATTAATATTAATAAATTTTATAATTTTCTAAATCTAGAAATTAATTAGTAATAGTATAAATATTAACTATATAGAGAATTTTAAGAAAGTCTTTTTTAAAATTCTCTATATCTATAGATAAAATTATTAAAATTATTAATTTTTTTAATTATTTATATAGTATTTTGGTAAGCTATTAAAGTCTCTTTTTTATTCTTTTAATTTATTGAATATTATTATTTAATATTTTAAGAGAGAGTTTTTAAAATAAAATAGTAATAATAAATTAGATTATATAGATAAAATAGAAAATATAATATTAAATTTTAATCATATTTAATAATTTTTAGTTAGCTATAATATCTTGGAGTTTAAATAACTATATTTTAAAATTTATAGTAATAGAAGAAAATATTATTCTATTATTATTTATATTATTAGTTATAATTCTAAGTATTTAGTATACTAAATTATACTTATATAGAACTTTTAGTATAAGATTAGCTAATAATCTATCTTTATATATACTAGAGATTAGTCAAAATTCTAAAAGAATTTTATAATATTCTATATCTTTAATTAAAAAATAATTTAGTATTATAAGAAAAACCTTTTGATCTGGACTAGCTTAGTAGTTAATTATTAGTAAAGTTTCAGTATTATTGAATAGTTAAAATAGTAATTAGATATATAAACCTTATTTAATAGTATTATAAATTGTTTTTTAATCTACTTATAATTTAGTAGACAAAGACAGTACTAATATAGAAAGAAAATAGTAATAAGAATAATTATTTATTTAAACTAAATATATTTAACTGTTTAGAATAGTAGTTAATAGATAATAATAAATTAAAGAGTTTAATTCAGAAACTCTTTATTACTATAAATAATAGAATTATTTTTTAAAGAATAATGTAAATTAGTATAACTAAAATAAAATAAAATAGTAATCTAAAATAAAAAATATTATTAATTTATAGAGTATTATCTTAATAATTATTTTTCTAAAATTAATTAAAAAAACTTTATTTTTATATTTTTTTTCTATAGTAATCTATTAAATTTATATCTGATCTGTTAATCAATAGATAAACAAGAGTATAAAAATAATAAATATAGAAAATCTTTAAATTACTACTTGGAAATTTAGTTTTTTTAGAAAAATTATTTTATACTAATAATTTTTATTTTTTTATATTCTATTTTAATTAAATTTTATCTATCTCTCTTTATTACTAAGTAAAAGGAGTCTAATTCTACTAAATTTTAAAAATCTCTAATTTATTTTAGATAGAATATTAAATAATCTATTTCTAGTATTTTATTTATATAAGTTTAAACTGGAGAGAGAAATTTAGGATAAATAATAGTATAATTTCTATTATATTTTAAATATTAGTTATAAAGATTTAAGATATAGATAAAGATAGTATAATACTATCTTCTAATAGTAAAATAGAGAAGATAATATATTTAGATATAATTATTTTTATAATCAATAAATAGAGAATATATTAAAGATACGTAGAAGTTAGGAGATTTAGAAAAGAGATTAATTTTAACTATTATATTACACTAAGATATATTATTATATTAAGATATAATAGCTTATATTTTTATAGATTATCTACTATATACTATAACTCTGTATTGCTTATTTAATAGTTAAACTCTAAGTTAATTATTAAAATATCCCAGTATTATAACTATCTATAATATAAGTTGTCAGCTGCCCTAATCCTAAAACGGAATAGTCCTAGGGCTGGCTTAAGAGGATATAAAAATAGAATAATGGTATAGATTGAATAACTAGATAGGGTAGAATTGACTTGAAGAGATTAAAAGAATAAATAGGAAATCTGACTATCTAATAATTAGATAGTTGGTTGATAATCTGCTTGAATCAAAAAGATTATTTAGTAGATACTTTTAGGCCTAATTTATAAACAATTTTTAGGTCTTGTTTTTAGTGAATAATTTTAAATTAATATAGAATTAGTAAATTTGTTATTATAACTAATTCTGACTAATTCTTAATTTCTAATAATTTCTAATAATTTATAATAAATTATTAGAAATTATTTAAAGTTATAAGTTATAGATTTATTCTAGATTTTGATTAAAAATAAGATTTTAATTTAGTCTAAAATAGGCAATACTATAGAAGCTTTCTAGAATATTTTCTAAATAAGAAATATTTTTTTAATTTTATTCAGTATTATCTAATAAGAAAATATTCTAGATTTCTTCTAGAATATTTTTTAAATAGGAAATTTTACTCTGATATACCCCCCCAGATTTAAATATCTAAAAATAGATATTAAATCTGAATAGAAATCAGTAAATAGATTATATTAAAAAATTAATAGATAAATTAATTTAAAATTACTAAAAAGATTGATTAAAAATTACTAAAAATAGTAAAAAATTAAATAGATTAAAATAGGACTAATTTAATTTAGGCCCTAGAAATCGATATTAAAAAATAGATAAAATAGAACTTATCTAATTTAATATCCTAGTTTAAATCGGTTGAATTGGTTTTATTGAATTGATCAGATATATCCGTTATATTTAGATAGTTTAGAAAAATCTGATATTTTTAATTAGATAGATTTTTAGTTAAACTATCTATAAATATCTGAATTAGTCAGTCTCTATATAATATTAATATTTTTAGCTCTAATTTCCTATCTAAGTTAATAATCTTGAATATTAATATATTTCAGCTTAGATCTATATATAAAATAGTTATCTATAAGTAACTGAATAGTTTACTTATTATTATATTCTATATAGAGCTTTTAATCAGGATTAAAACTTAAAGTTCTAAATAGATATTTCCACTATAGAAATTATCTACTAGTACTAGTTAGGACTAGTAGTTCAGCTTCAGTAATTAATAAAATAACTATTTTCTACTTTTTAGCTGACTAATCTATAGGGCTATTATATAGCTTGTAGATATAGCCTTCAGAACTCTTTTTATCTAAATAATTCTTAAAAACAGTGTCACTAGCTATTAAAAAAATAGGGCTAGGATTCAGTATTCTAATTTAATTTAATTAATTAAAATTTATAGAGTTAGAGCTAGACTCTAAGTATTCTATAGATAGATAT